GCTGTAAGACACAGCCTTGATTTGAATGGGAATTACTCAACATGAACGCTTCTGTGTTTGCCTTGTGGTGGACACCCGGAGCGACTCCTTGGCAAGACAGATCCAATTCCAGTGAGAACGCAGCTCTTGCTCCCTGCCATTTATTTAGTCACAAGAGGCAAAGGGCTTATTGTATTTGCTATACCACAAGTGTCTAGTCCAGCAACTTGAAGAAAGGAGCCAGGATGTCTCCCCTGAGTTATGATCCCACCGTAGCTATTCTGACCCTTTATTTATATCTCTAGGGTGAGGGCATGGGAGTCACATGAGAGGACAACTCCCAGGAGACACCCTCTTGTTCTACCCTGGGGGTCCTGAGAATCAAACTCAGGCCTTCAGCCTTGAAAGCAAGCACCTTTATCCTCCGAGCCATCTTGCTGGCGGCACAGCTCTGTATTCTTATTTCCAGTCTCTATCCCAGGGCCTTGACTTGCCTCCTTGCTGTTTGTGTATGATGGTCACTGCCCTTGAGCAGGTATTCTTTTGACTTTGTTTCATTGTGAGTTGGCTTCTTACGGTCTCACTGTATTCTAGCTGGCCTGAAACCTGCTGTGTAGACCATGCTGGCCTCAAATCTGTGACCATCTCCCTGCGTCTGTCTCCTAGGTCATTGGGATTACAAGCTTGGTCCACCATGCTCAGATTAAGGCAAATACTGCATTAAGGCCATAGGTTACCTTGAGAAGAATTACCGGATTTGACTATCCTATCTGTAACAAGCATTTCAGAACTTTTTTACTAAAAAGGCCTTTTAGACATGTGAAAATAGCTTAGGAAGCCTCTTACACCCAAGGCTGCACCCAACAACCAGAACCCAGTGACATCACTCGCTCAAGATAACCAGACATGGTCCTAGACCCCATGATGCCCACTGGACAGTCCATAAGCAGAGACCAGGAGCAATGCTCTGCTCTGCACATCTGGAGAGACCCCACCTTGACCTGCCCTCAGGAGAGTCTCCCAGGACCCAGACCTTTGAATCAGAGATGACTGTTAAAGAAGGGACCTGACCTTCAGCTAAGCTGAGCAGCACAGGTGAGCAGCCTTGGGGAGACAGGCTTAGGACATAGTTAGGAACTCAGAGTGTGAGCTTTGGGTGATGATGTTAAGCATGACAAAATATAACTTTTTTTATATCAACCATAAAATACAACTTTTGTTATATCAACCATAAAATACAACTTTTGTTATATCAACTATAAATACAACTTTTGTTATAGCAACTATAAAATATAATTTTTGTTATATCAACTATAAAATACAACTTTTGTTATATCAACTATAAAACATAACTTAACTTTTGTTATACCAACTATAAAACATAACTTTTGTTATTCCAACTGCGTGCATTCCAACTTCTTCCTTGCAACACTATCTATATACAAGAGGCTGTTTCTCAAGCTTGTACCCCTGAGTAAAGTTTTATGCTGTCTTCACAGGGCCCAGCCCATTTCTTCTTAGACAGATTCCTGGACACTTCACAGTTACTTTTGAAACAGGATCTTCTTTCTGTCACATTTTAAATGTTATTTCTGATAGGAAGACTAATCATTTTGTGCTTTTCTTGTATCACCTTTTTATAGCTGAGGTGAGACCTCACAACTTCAGGGACTTTCTAACTTTTCTGCAACTAGAAACTTCTAGTGAAAAGACAGTCTTTATCTAAAGAAATCCTGATCCTAACATGATATGGGGAAAGACTTTCTCTCTCTCTCTCTCTCTCTCTCTCTCTCTCTCTCTCCCTCCCTCCCTCAGAAGGACTGTCTCTCTCTCTCACTCTCTCTTCCTTGCCCCCTTTCTCTCTCTCCTTTACCCCTCCCCCATCTCTCTATGTATCTCAGTTCTCCCATGCCTCAAGCAAGTAAATCTATCTCATTCAGGAGATTTACACAATTCCTCAGCAAGGTCCTGGGCCTCCCTTTCTGTGCTCTATCTAGACATTGACACTTTGAAGAAAAATGGCACTTGTCCTAATCTGCTTCACAGGACGGACTTCTCTGTCCCTTTCTGTTATAGAATAATCCCTGACACTGTGTCAAGTTATTTCACTGGGATTGGTTTAGTAAAAAGCTGAATGGTCAATAGCAAGGCAGGATTTGGGGGCAGAGAGGACACTGGGAAGAAGGCAGAGTCACCAGGAGAAGCCAGACAGACATGGAATGAGTTGAACACACAAAATAGGATAGAGGTTAAAAAAAGAAAAAACACATGGTAGAACACAGATCAATAAAAATATGGGCTAATTTAAGTTATAAGAGTTAGTTAGAAACAAGCCTAAGCTATTGGCTGAGCTTTTATAACTAGTAAGAAGAATCTACATCATTTTTTGTGAGCTGGGGGCCCAAAGAAAAATCTGCTTACACCTAGATGTCCTACACCTGAGGACCCCTACCTCCTGAATGGGGAGCACTGCCCAACAGTTCACTCTTTTTCTCTTATGGCCACTTTAGAAGATCAACTTCTTTGGCACAGTTGTACCAGGACAGCTTGCTTCAGTTCGTTCAATTCTACACTAATCTCTATCAATTAACCGATAATAGTCCAAGGAGTCCTCCAGAGGCTAACACTGGGATTATTATAAACAGATAGTCTAGCTTTAAAATGCTACACTGTTTTTTCTTCCCCTATAAACATTTAAATTATATCAAAATAATTAAATTATAAATTTCAACAAAATACTGCTAAAGTCACATCATAAATAACTTTGAAAAAAGAATCATTAAGTTATTCCTAGAAACTGTTCTCTAGCTTGTGGGCCCATGTAGTAGTTTAGATAATGGACTGTAAGCCATGAGCTCTCTCTGATCTGGATCACTAATCCCCACCCACAACCAAATGAGAAGGTTCCAGAGCCCTGGTAGGAGGTGGTGCCAGAAGGAACGTGGCACAAAGGCCGCCTCCTCAGAGGGCTGTACCGTGAGATTGAACCTTCACGTTAATCTACTGTGACGACACACTTGTTCTGACAAGGCCCTCTGTGTGGCTAGCAGAGAAAGATGTTACAGAAGAGGCTGGAGAGCAGCAGATGATGGAGAAGATAAAGATAATGGCTAAGATCAAACTGAAGGAGGACTGTGAGGGACCCGAGAAGCTGAGTCCCACAGGAGTGTCGCAGTGCCAACATGCACGGTAATGCAATCAATTCAGTTTGGTTATGCTAATGTGCGAGTGTTTAAAAAAAATCTGAGAAACGTTATCTCAAGTGAATATAAATATAGACCAGAGAAACCCATAGCAGGTGTGAGTAGAACAAAACTGAAGGATCCAGGGTCCCCACTGCTTGACACCCCTGGGACAGCACACACAGCCTGGATCCTGGGGCTCCGTAGCTCGGGGTGAAAAGTCACTGGATGGCATGGTTCGCTTTGGGTGGCTATTCTAGCAGGGGTCTGCTTTCTACATAATCTGTTAGTTTTACAACTAGCTCCCAACTTCATCCCGCCATGCCATGTGACCAGGCCCACTTCCCCCTACTCACAGGGGGCCAAGTGAGTGCTGATTCTGCCCTGCATATATTCTTTAAGAATATCTGTTGTTAAAGATGGTGGCTGGCAGGGCAGTAGTGGTGCATGCCTTCAATCCCAGAATTTGGGAGGCAGAGGCAGATAGATCTCTGCGAGTTCGTGGCCAGCCTGGTCTACAAGAGCTAGTTCCAGGACAGGCTCCAAAGCTACAGGGAAACCTTGCCTTGGGGGGAAAAAAAAGAAATAAATAAATAAAAACAACAACAAAAAAGATGTGTGGCTGGTCTGTTTGTTACCCTCCCATTCCAGGTGTGGATTTCAATGCGACTTGACTCACTTCTTAATCTGATGCCGTATCTTTCTTTCTTCTTCTTTGTTTAAAAGTATATGTCACCTGTTTTGGCTTGGTTTTGTTATTTTGGGACACAACTTGCTTTCCTCCGAGCCCATTTTTTTTTTAAATATACTTTACTCTTACTGGGAAGAAAAAGATACTTTATCCTCTAAAATTCTCCCTTGTAATTTTTTCTCAAATAATTTGGTCAATTTCTATTGAGATACAATTTTTTTTTCTAATTTACTTATCATTAATTGGATATTTTATTCATTTTGATACTGCCCAAAGGTGAAAGACTGAAGAAGACACACCCTTTCTCGGACAATGGAGAAAGCCAAGAGTAACTGATGTCAAGTGTGAAGTCTTCTGCTGCCCACCTGGGCCTCACATGGAAGGACATGCTTCTTCACAAAGACAGGAGCTGGTTAGCTCAGGGTGAGAGGCTGCGTTTCTCTCCTAACACTCCCTCAGTCTCCTTACAAGGTAATGAAACCTGTCCAGTGCCAAGAAGGAAATAATCCCCTCTGGAGAAACAAAAGCCAGAAGTCATTTCCACTACTCTGTGGTGGGAGAGAGGGACAGAGGGAAGGAGGGAGGGAGGGAGGGAGGGAGGGAAGGAGGGAAGAAGAAAGCTAAGTAGCAAGAATATAGCTTGGAGGGGGCTGACTTTCTTTTTTTAAATTTACTTCTTTTTATGTGCATTGATGTTGTGCCTGCATTTATGTCTGGGTGAGGGTGTCAGATCCCCTGGAACTCAGTTACAGACAGTTGTAAGCTGCCATGTGGGTGCTGGGAATTGAACCCAGGTTCTCTGGAAGAACAGTCGGTGCTCTTAACCTCTGGGTCATTTCTCCAGCCGGGGGGGGGGGGGTAGCCGGGGCAGCTGTCTTTCAATGCTTATAAATGCTTGCAGAAGGAAATTCCTATTAGAATCAGAGGCCACTTTGAATACAAAAATGCCACATGAAGAGTCTAACTGCTCTATGTTTAGAAGGTTTATCTAAGGCAATTGAGAAGCACAGGGGTCTCTGTGACATCCACTGAATTACACACGTTCAACAGCCCTCCGTCGGAGGTACTAAGTGAAACTGCAGTCTGTACTTTTCAACCACTCTGGTAGAACAGATAGAAGAGGTCACTGAATCAAATTTTCATCTTACCCTGAAAAATCAGCAGAATATTGTCCATAATCAAAGATATAGACTCTAGTAATCTGACACACTGTGAGGTATCCCAAAGCAAACACAAAACAACATCTGTAAAACAAAAATAAGCCAGATTAGTGGAAACGTTCATTCCGTCAAAGGACACATTGTACAGAAACTCACTGATTCACATGGCTCCACAATTAAATAGTATTAAATCCATCCTACAAATACCTTGATCTAACAGATTATGAGAACTCTCTCCTAACATGTGGATGGTTGATGAAACTGACCACTGCTGCCGTTCAATTTTATTCTGAAAGACGGCCACACATAAGATTTCATATGTGAAAACCATGAACAGAAGCATTGAAAGACTTGATTACTGGTGACAGCTTTTTTAATTGATCCGTTACTGCTCCCATAGACCTTACACAATTCTTCACTAGATTCTCCTCATCTCTTCGTATGCGTGTGCACGGGTCTGCACGTAGGTGGACACGTGCATGTGTTTGTGTGATTATGGAAACCGGAGGTCAGTGCTGGGAATCATCCTTGATCATCTTCCCGCTTTCTTCAGTGAGGTACAGTCCCTCAGTCAGATCCAGACCTCGCCAGGACGACTAGTCAAGAGCCAGCTTGGCCTGGGGACCCCTGCCTTCAGAGACTGAAACTGTAGGCAAGCTACCACCACCCCACCCCCTACACATGGGTTCTGGAGAAGCTGATCTCTGGCAAATGCTTTTCAGCAATTTTATTTGATTTTTAAAATAAGCCCTCAGTAGCCTAAGTTCATACCCTTTAGAGTGAATCGGGGGTGCTCACCCAGAACCGGCTAGAGACTTTATAGGCACAACCAGTTAGTGACTTTCCCAAACTCAAGGTGCTCAGATGGTATTACAAGTGAACACAGTATGGAAAATGAGCTTATGTATCCATGGAAAAAGAACAGAAGAAACCCAAAAACCACATCCTAGAAAACGTAACTTCACATAAGACAAGAGCTGCAATTCAAATTCTCGGGGTATAAACATGTCATTAGTCAACAAGTCAGGAAGGGCAGAGGAAGCTAGGCCTTCCTCGTGTGATGACCATTCTAGATGGATTAAATAATCAAATACGAAACCATACCAAGTGGGAATTACGGCTAAATATTCAAAAGTAGCTCTCAAACTGGAGGGTTTTCTAAGCATTCAATACAGAAGCAATCGAAGGGGGAAACACTATCTATTTGGCTAAACTAAATCTTAGGTTTCTCATGTACGTGATTCAGGTGGCTTTATGAATGAGTTCTTTAAAGCTCTGAAAAAGAAAATCTGGGAGAAAGAAAAAAAAAACCAGCTGGGTGTGGTGATGTACACATTTAATGCCAGCACGCAGGAGTGGAAGCAGGTGAGTCTCTACGAGTTCAAGTCCAGATTGATCTACATTAAACAGAGAGACCCTGTCTCAAAGAAAAAAAAAAAGAGCATGCTAAACCCAGTATTTATTTAATAAAGTTATTTGAATCACTGTCAGTGTGTTTTGTAACTTAAAGTAGTTTATATAGGAAGGCTAGCAGTATTAATCATCCCAATGATGAGTCAAAAAGATACACGGGCATTTGCTAAAACTTCAGCCAAGCCTGGTGGCAGTACTTGGCCGAAACATGAAGACTTCAGGTTCAGAGGCCTGCCTCATACTACACAGTAAGCTCAACACCAGCTTTGACAATGGGATAAGATACCGTTGTAAAATAAAAAGTAAAAGTGCCGGCGACACGCACAGCTCGGTGGTAGGGCACATGCTTGCTGGCATGCATAAGGTTCTGGGCTCAGTATGACTCTGTAAAAGAGCGGGAAAAAATCAATAAAGCAAAAAACTCTTAGCAAGCTGAGGGGTAAAAAAATGATGTTTCCTCAACATTAAAATGTCTAAACATGAGGCTGGGAAGATTACTTACCATACCAGCAGACAGACCCAAGATCAGTCCCCAGAACACATGAGAAAGCCCAGCATAGTGGTACAAGCCTGTAACACCAGCACAAGGGGAGTCAGGACAAGAGGAGCTTTGGCGCTCAGTGGCCAACCAGGGTAGCTGAATTAGAAAGCTCCAGACTCTGTGAGAAACTATGTCTCAAAAAAAAAATTAGGTGTTGGGGGCCAACTAGATGGCTCAGGAGGTAAAAGCACTTGGCATGAGGTCTCTAGAACCCACGTATAGGGGTTAAGAAAACCAACTCCATAACAGTGTCCTCTGATTCCTACATATGTACTATGGTATGGCTCCCTATCATATAACACACACACACACACACGGACATGGACACACAGATAACAATAACAATGTGGAGAAGGAAGTCAAGATATTGATCTTTTACCTCCACATGCACAATGTGTGCTTTTGCACACATATATGCACATACAACGTATATGTACACACACACACACACGCACGCATGCAGGCTCTTGTCAGTCCTGAGATAGTAGTAACTCATAAGGGAAGAACAATCAGGAAGTGTGGGGTGGGAAAGAAGAGGACCATGCGTTGGACGGCCTCACTCTACTTATGGTTTAGAAGACTCAGTAATAGTAAATGCTACTCCTGTTAAATTAATTTCTAAGTTTAGCATCATAATCCTAACAATGCCTTTGGTGGGGGTGAACCAGCTGATCTTCAGGGGCTTCTAGCTAACTAAATAAACACGTGCCAGAAAGGATTTAGAATGTGCTGCAAGGATTTAGAATGTAGCGTTGTTTCAAAAATAGATCAAAGGATTGCTCAAACAAGAGACAGTTTAAAAAGACTCACTGTCCAACTGTTTATGATAACACTGGCATGTTAAACCAGGGGCAAGATGAATGAAGTTTAGTGAGCCAAAACAATAGCTCTCTTCTGAGATGGCTCCCCAATGCACACTAGACACAGGGAATACCAATCAGTACAATAGGAAAAGATATAAATGTAAAAAATAATATGCAGAGTCATACAATAAGATAAAAGAGAACAGCTGGAGAGGGGACAATCACATAAGCACAAAACATATCAGACATTTCGCTACAATAAATTACGAAGCATTACATGCTAATGTAACAGAAATCAACTTGTATGCATGCTAGGTTAATGTCCCTAACAGAGAACTTCCAAGCAATAAAAAACAGATGAAGAAATCAAGTGGAAAATAAGAATGATAAGGAACGGATTATATAAGAAAAATGTAACCATCATTTATTTGGAAAAATAAATGAGATTCAGTCAAGCAGCTGTCAGAGACAACTTGGAAACTCACAGCAGGCTGAAGACTGTGTTCAACACAGACAGGCACAGTCTAAAGAGGGTAACACTAAGGCTGGACAGCACAGACACAGTCTAAAGAGGGTCATACTCAGGCTGGACAACACCGACAGACACAGTCTAAAGAGGTTAACACTCAGGCTGGACAACACAGACACAGTCTAAAGAGAGTCATACTCAGGCTGGAGAGCACAGACACAGTCTAAAGAGGGTCATACTCAGGCTGGACAGCACAGACACAGTCTAAAGAGGTTAACACTCAGGCTGGACAACACAGACAGACACAGTCTAAAGAAGGTAACACTCAGGCTGGACAGCACAGACACAGTCTAAAGAGGGTCATACTCAGGCTGGACAACACAGACAGACACAGTCTAAAGAGGGTAATACTTGGGCTGGACAGCACAGACACCGTCTAAAGAGGGTAACACTCAGGCTTTCATTTTTAGCATCTTTGTCTGTCTATGTATCAGTCAGTCTATCTATTGTCTGTTTATTGCATGGGGGCGTACATGCCACTGTGAACATTATAAAATGCACCCCACCCCCAGTTTCTTCCTTTTTACTCAAATCCGGGGTTCATGTGTGCTAGCTGAGCAACCAACCGAGCTACACCGCAGTCTGAGGAATGGAAGTTTCAGAGTCTCTTAAGCGCATAATTTTGCAGCATACGTTACCATATATCAAATATACGCCATTATACTAAGAATGCAAAGAATGCATGTTACATAGTCTTTGAACTGACAATTCCATGTTCTTATTTCACCTAATACATGAAGGACAAAGTTGTGGGATAAATCCTGCAAAGGTCTGCAGTATAACTGTGGAAATACTATACAACGATACAATACTGTGCAGTTCCACCCAACTCTACATTCAGAGATTTCAATTCCTACCTTACCAGGGTGCAAGAATTTGTGGGACAGAAACTGATAAGTAAGATAAATCTGGTCATTAAAACCAAGACTATCAACTCTAGCCTCTAGAAAAAAAATCTCATCCATTGTCTGGTTTTATAAACATATTTTTATTTGGCCACACCCCGCTCATTTGAGTATTACAATGGCTGCTCTCAGCTTACAGCAGCCATAGAAGCCTAAAATAATTACTGGCTCATCCTGTTAAAGGAACTTTTGCTGACCCTAATTAAGGACTAAACTGTGGGTGGAGATAGTAATAATTCACATTAAGTTTTAATTAAAAGTAACAGGATTGTCAGTCATTGTGAGGAATGACATCACCACCACTACTTCATTAGCATATATGTCAGTCAACACTCACTTTAGAATGACATTAGCACATCATTAACACGAGCTTTACTGATCTAGATGGTAATTCAGCACCTACCTGTAGGCACCAGGGCAGGCCTGCAACCACAGGTTAGCTATAAGAACTTTGGCACTAATCAATGAAAGCATTCCACGGGAACTATGGGCAGAGAATTCACAAGCAAGTGGACTGGCCATTTGGTGTTTGTATATTATATATCACACATCCACTCGACTCATACATTGTGGAATAAGCATAGTTGGCACTGCCTATCAGACTGATTCCAGCTCCCGATCCACACACCCAAATCCACAGGGGGTCAGGCCCCTTATGTACAATGGTCAGGGGCTGCACAGAAGGCACGCTCCCCTGTGCACTTTAACCACCCCGGGATGGGTGATTTACGGTGGCTAACGCAAGGTAAGAGACTATAAATGGCTGTGCGCAGGGATAACCAGTCTGTGTATGTTCAACACACACGCCATGTTTTCCTCGGGTTTTTCTGGCCGCAGTGTTGACCGCACAGATGTGGAAGCCACAGAGGGAAGGCTGACTGCCTGTTACACAC